GCCGTCTACTGATAAATCGTGATCTGAACTTTCAACAGAAGGTGGCGCATTCGTAAAGGCTTCGGTTCTCCAACTGTTCTCCAATGTACAAAATACATTGTATAAAATCAATAAAATTTCAAATTGGGACGATTGTAAAATCGTACCATTAGAGTCTGGACAAATTATATGAAACATCATTGAAATAATAGGACTATTTTTTAAATCCATATTAGAAAGGAACCGTATTTAACAATAGATGTTAATACAAACACATTTGTTAGAAAAATCATTTTTATTTACATGCAAATCGTCTTCCAAAGCGTTTAAAACGGCTGCCCTCGACTTCCTCTTGAAATCCGAAAAGGATCGATGAACTTCATGCGTAAGAGGTTCGGCGCAGCTGGTTTTCAAATCATTTTCTATCTCGTGCACTGCTAACCCAGGCAGATCTCGAAGCAACGCGTACTTGCCCTACGAAACGAATTATTTTCACAAAATTCTCTCCCATACAATCAAGGAGGATATTCAGAAAATTATTATTCATATACTTTTATTGAGATTGATATTTTATCTTCAAAGGCGATCCACGTCTTATCCTTGAACGCGTAAGGAGCGGTAAGATCCTCGTCTCTCTCCACCGTCCATTCTCCCTTATTCATCAAATCGCATAACTGAAAAAACGAAAGTGACACTAATAATTGATCAATTTAAAAAATTGCGAGTCAGAGAATAATCTGTTCTTTGATTTGAATCATATGATTACAAAACGTGATTGTAAATCATATGACAATTTCTATGAAGTCATTGTTTGCATGTATGCCAGTAAACTCTGCCGCGAACAATGTCGACTTCGCACCTGTCTCTGATCAATGACGACCGGCTGCGTCTCTTCAGTGGGTGCCCTTGGGGCATTGTCGTCCTGATCCTTAAGCGTGAACCTGTACGCGCTGGCAGGCACCGATATCAAGATTTTCCTCTTGGGAGCGCCCAGGCCGCTAATCAGGTCGATCAGGCTGTCCGCGTTGAACATGTCGAACAGGCCCATCAGACGTGATGGATGGAAAGTGCTCTGGGCATCGTCGTCCTCCACCAAATAGTGCGTCGGGATCGTGAACAAATCCACGTATCTGCATATTTATTCGCATTTTGTCACTTCCATCAAAAAACTTATTTTATTCCGTGTAAATAGAATAATTTTATACAATAAGCCTGCAGTCAAAGATAGCATTTTTAAGTATTTGTTGATTCGTCGTATGAATCACTTCTAAAAATGCATGACGCGCGTTTAGAATCGAATCAACCGTGGAACGTGCCGCTTCGTATCATTAGGTGATTATCATTGACACAAAGTATCGTCCGAGGATCGTATCGAGAACGGTCTCATTCATATTTCAAGAACGCGCCGGGAGTGTTTGCCAGCAACCCGAAACTCATCCATATTCAATGAAATATATTCCCTGTAAGACCGTCCCACAATGAGGATCACGAGCATCGTTTTACAATTTGGTCTTGACTCACATACTGTTCTAATCTTGTGTCTGACTTTTCATTTCGCTAGCACTGTCTGTCTCATTGCTGTTTTTGTGCAATCGTATGTAAAAGAGAAATGTCTTTGTGAATCATTGTCTGTTTATTAGCATTTATGGAAATTTCGTCTATTCGTTTGCGACATTTTAAGTATTCAAATCTTCGTATTGAAAATTGCTATTAGTATTAAGGAAACATTTCAAGATCAAGAATCTTTCAAGAAATCAATTTCAAGATCAAGAAAGAAATTTAATAATTTTGATGAAAGTCTGTTGAATTATAAACGCTTTACAAAAGCGCCGTCGATCGATTTAATTCGCATTCCCGGCCAGCTCGATTCCCCTCATCCATATTCAATGAAAGGAAGAAAAAGATACCGTAAGAACACGGTGCAACGACTTATCGGCTAATTGTAAAGAGGCGCGTGAAAATCCGCTACGTGCATCAACCGGGTCGCGGCATTCCTCGCGTCGCTCGAGAGCCGGCAATTGGCACAAGGTTAGGCAGATTATGCCGAACATGAACGAGTAGTTTTTACTTTAACCGAGCCCGTTTTCACTTTACGGCCGGCTCACCGGTCAATTTATTCATGAAGTTAAGTGCACCGTAAAACGTGTCTGGCTTACGTCTAGCTTAGATGTATACATAGAATTGCTTTGATATATTTAGTATACTGACGAGTTAATGCTAAGACATGATTGTCGCAACAAGGACATATTATTATATTAATGTTAATATGGATTTTAAAAATAATGGTCTTACTTCGTTAGGTCCTTCAGGTCAAACTGTTTGGCCAGGTTCTCTGATTTTGTAGGCAGAACCAGGAAGATCCTCTTGTCGTAGGACTTCCTCACCAACTCGTCTCTCAGGCCCTTCACAAAATGTGACAAACGTTCCTTCGACCCGGCAGTCATATTCAGCTCGATCGCATCCAACTATAAAAATTAAACTCTATAATTAAAAACTTTGATTTCATAAATAATATTCAATTGTAGAAATGTGGATTGCCTCTTTGAAGACGCCCATCAATCGGGCGACGATCTCCTGACGAACCATGCCGGAAGTCCTGAGCGTACTTTCGGGGTCGTTCACGGAAATCGCGAACTGAAGGGTCGGAATGATCTCCTTCAATGATTTCTGGAAGGTTTCAAACTCTGCAACACAAAACTCAAAACTGTATTTCATATTCTTTTCTTAAATTATATTTTACTTCATTTTTTTATGTTCCCTAAATGAAGATTTTTGAAAGTGGCATTTTTATTGTATCTCATAATGGTTACATTTACTGGTAGAAGAAATGCTCGTAAGAAGGTTCCGGCTTCCTTTTCAACACAATTGTCAATCTCGTCGCACGATCAACGCACTGGGACGCTGTTAGACCAAACGAAATCACTGTCGCCGGGCAATTAATCACGGACTTTCACGTATTGTCGTAATTGGTCGCGACACTGGTCGTTAGTAAAAATTACTTCCTATTAACGACATCCATGTAACTACAGTCTTTTTCTACCAATTACTCGTACCAATTCTTAAGTAATTTCCTATTATTAAATACTTTTGAAAATCATTTTAAAAACAGATTCGTTTACAACTGTTTCGTATATTTATTTCGTTTCTTAATTTGATCCAATTTTCGATTAATATTTCTTAGGATTACTTTGAAAAGAGATTTGGAATTTGTTTTTATCATTTTCTTCTTTCGAAATTAGGTCAGTTTATGAAAAGGGGTCAGAAGAACGGGTTTCCGAAAAATTTCCAAATACGTCGTTCAATTCCAATGATCTTCATTCTCCAGTAATTGTTCAACGAGCAATTATGCTTGCGTAACGAGTTAACGTATACAGCCCCATATAAATTTTCTGAACGAGTGAACGTTAAAGAAATGATCGTAAGAAATGTTCATATTTCATCGGGCAATTATGAAAAATTCCTCTCATTTTTATCGAATTCGAATGGATAGAATTTGAGGGGATAAGCCGTGGAGGGAAAAAGTGAACGCCGTCACGCGACGCGAGATCCTGCGGGGAAAGTGATATTCGTTACATCTGGATCATCTATAAGAACCACTTTCGACTCCACGTTTCATTAGCCACGCCCATGTACGAATTTCGACTGCTTTTTTACGATAACCCGAACACCTTTTTACGACGGTGTCGCCGATATTTGATATGTTTTTTATTTTTGCATCACCATTTACGGCGCGAGGGAGAAGTAAATATTCCCGAGTCGCAGAATAATGCTAATTAGCACACGCCCGAAGAAATCGGGATCGCAGTGAACTCGTTCAGATTCGTCCTTGCCATCAATTTTTAATTGACGTTCGCCCGTTCGTTATCGCGAAAGAGAAAGAGACAAAACAATCCTTTTTTTTTCTGTTTCCATAAATCAAGGCGGCGTGGAACGCGACCATTCATGGCAGCGAATAAGAGGAGTATCATGCTCGGAGCTCGTTTTCGCGCGATTATGTCACAAACGTCGCGACGTCTCTGCAGTAGACGCTTCTATCCTCGTCCCTCGCCGTCTCTCATATCTCTGGTCTGCACGCGTCCAGTGCAAGGGTCTCGTGATTCGCGGTCTCATGGATGAATATCGAATTTCACGCGTGCGACGTACCGTCATCGAACGGCCACCACTCCGCGTTATGCATAACAAATTGATTTTGGAAGAAATTTCGAAATCCGCCCACAAAATCATTTTAAAAACAGATTCGTTTACAACTGTTTCGTATATTTATTTCGTTTCTTAATTTGATCCAATTTTCGATTAATATTTCTTAGGATTACTTTGAAAAGAGATTTGGAATTTGTTTTTATCATTTTCTTCTTTCGAAATTAGGTCAGTTTATGAAAAGGGGTCAGAAGAACGGGTTTCCGAAAAATTTCCAAATACGTCGTTCAATTCCAATGATCTTCATTCTCCAGTAATTGTTCAACGAGCAATTATGCTTGCGTAACGAGTTAACGTATACAGCCCCATATAAATTTTCTGAACGAGTGAACGTTAAAGAAATGATCGTAAGAAATGTTCATATTTCATCGGGCAATTATGAAAAATTCCTCTCATTTTTATCGAATTCGAATGGATAGAATTTGAGGGGATAAGCCGTGGAGGGAAAAAGTGAACGCCGTCACGCGACGCGAGATCCTGCGGGGAAAGTGATATTCGTTACATCTGGATCATCTATAAGAACCACTTTCGACTCCACGTTTCATTAGCCACGCCCATGTACGAATTTCGACTGCTTTTTTACGATAACCCGAACACCTTTTTACGACGGTGTCGCCGATATTTGATATGTTTTTTATTTTTGCATCACCATTTACGGCGCGAGGGAGAAGTAAATATTCCCGAGTCGCAGAATAATGCTAATTAGCACACGCCCGAAGAAATCGGGATCGCAGTGAACTCGTTCAGATTCGTCCTTGCCATCAATTTTTAATTGACGTTCGCCCGTTCGTTATCGCGAAAGAGAAAGAGACAAAACAATCCTTTTTTTTTCTGTTTCCATAAATCAAGGCGGCGTGGAACGCGACCATTCATGGCAGCGAATAAGAGGAGTATCATGCTCGGAGCTCGTTTTCGCGCGATTATGTCACAAACGTCGCGACGTCTCTGCAGTAGACGCTTCTATCCTCGTCCCTCGCCGTCTCTCATATCTCTGGTCTGCACGCGTCCAGTGCAAGGGTCTCGTGATTCGCGGTCTCATGGATGAATATCGAATTTCACGCGTGCGACGTACCGTCATCGAACGGCCACCACTCCGCGTTATGCATAACAAATTGATTTTGGAAGAAATTTCGAAATCCGCCCGCCTTTTTTCTCATACTCGGCCACGGCCATTGTGCAATCGCTGTGCTCGTTTAATGGCGTGCACTGCGTTCGATTTTTGTATATTTATCACCCGATTGCGGTGTCCGCCGAGATTTATGGGAATTGCCCTGTCACAATTTAATTTATCACGTTTTCCCAAAAATACTACATACGTAAAGAAATTGTACAATATAGAAGTGAAGATATCAAACATGCGTAGTTTACTAAATAATAAAGAAATATAAAAATTCTTGTAAAAATCATGCGAATTCCCAGAGCAGTAAGAGAATCATTAGGGAGACATAGGAATTATTGAATAACTACAACATCAGCTTCGCACAAGAAATCGTGAAAGTGGAAATATTCTTACCCGAGGGATTTAATTAGTAGTTTCGATCACCGTCTAATTACACGATTAATAAGAACCGATAAGCAGTCCGGCAATAAATGTCATAAAGTGTCTAATACCTTTCGTCTGAACGTATATTTTAAAGACACCAAGGTAACGACAAGACTAGTAGTTGTGTTTCGTGATTATGCAACGAGATTTGTTAAATTCATAGACACGCGAATTGATCGGTACACCAAAGCCTCGGCGCTTCGCTCTTTGAACCGACTGGTGTCTCGAAGATTAACGCGATTCCCAGATGAATATTCATCGCGCATTGTGATCACGCGAATATTTTAGTGGCGCGTTCTGTCGCTTCTATGCATTCCAGGCGCACTTCCGACACTAACCGTGCTTTTCTTTCGCTGTTAAATTCTTTTGTTACGACCAACAGAGCATTTAACTTTCATTTATCATTTTTCTATGGAATCTAAAGTATTCAACAATTTAAATAAGTTAATTGTTTTCATTTAAATCCGAGCAATTCTGAGGTAGGATCTTTTTAATTTTTTTTATTTGTTATCTTTCAACGATTGGTCACGTACGACTTCCCTAAAAATCTTTTTGGATCTCCAAAACCATAATCGTATTAGTCCATCAACTCGACATGCGTAAAATTGTATGCATCGTCACGTAAAAAAAATTCGCTTGTTAAATTATTACCTAAACGCCGGTCACGTAGAATTATATTTTTTGCATAAACTCTGTAGATACTGCTGAATCATTCTAATATAATAACGAATTTTACCACACTGTACAATTATATCAAACTTGATTCTTTATGGAAACATCGACCGAGTGTTAAATCATTTAGCAAAACGCTGACAGTCCATTAATCGACGGTGATCGTTCACCAAAAATGACTGACAAGTTTGCAGGCAATTATCCGATGATTATTCCAAGCAACGGGATACGTCGTAATGATTGTTCATCGGAAACATTATTATTTTTTTTTTCAAGCAACGTTGTAATTCTCAGTGTTAATGAGTTTCCTTGATTGAAAAATTGAAAGATTAACTTTGAATCATGTAAATTACACGTTTCCAACAGTTTGATGACGGAAAACGAGGATCGGTTTTCCAACACTGACAACATTACCGCGTAAGAATATACTGTTCTCCGTGGTTGGACGTCGATATCCTGTTACAAGTGCAAGGATGCAGGTGCGTTTACAGCGATCGAAAAACGTAACATTTTCATAATTCCATTGCATAACTGCTTTAAATAGAATAGATGCAGCGTTTGTCAGATTTTAGAAAAACGTACGATAATTACGTGTCCCGAGGCAGATACGTGAAAGTGATTAATTCTAATTAAACAGAATGTTGCTTTCATTCGCGTTATTCGACGCGATCATTTTGCCAGGAATTGGGCTTAACAATTTCTCATAAATTAACGAGCGCGATCTCCTTGATACATATTTTCTACTTAATTATTAAATTATTACTATTAATCATTGAGTCATCATAAAAATCGTTCCTTTCAATTCTTTGAAACATCTCCAAGAGAACCGGACCTAATACCACGATTTATCCATAGCTGTTTTTTTTTTTTTAAAAGAGGAATGAAGAACTGATTGACATAATCATCGATCGCGGCGCGATTATCGCAAATCAAAGGATCCGTCTTCTTAAAGGAGCGTCGCTTGCGCGCGTCAAAATAAACCCGTCATGTCTTGTAACCACAAACGGTTATTAACAATTACAGCGGATGAAATATGCATCGGCTTACCGGAAATCGAGACATTCCGCACGTCGTATCCTTGCTGCACCAGCGTGGTACATTTGCAGACGGCCTCCGTCAAACGTTCGACGTCGGTGACGGAGGTGTAGCACACCACCTCCCTGCCTGGCGATATCTTCTGTTTTGGGCATTCTGAAATCAATTCGAATCAAATTTAAATAGAAAGAACTCTGTATTAAATCATACCAAGCAAATGTGTTTCACTTTTACTTTTATTGAAAAGTAATATGAATTTAATGAGCAAATTGCATATGAAAAAATGACAAAAATAAATGACGCATTTTCACTTTCATTGAATGTCACGAGACCGTCAAACCATGAAATACTATGTTAGTTTAAAGACGAGGAGTTGAAGAAGGTGTAATGAGGATAATAAAAATAGCCTTGAGAAAGCAGAAACGAGCCGAAAATTGGCAGTTCAGATCCGTTTGTTATGCACAACATTGATTGAACGTTGCCGTTGACATCATCCTTCGCGTATATGCAACTGTAGCTATAATAGTCGTTTACATAGCCGCGCAGCCTTGCGGTTCGCCGGCAGGAGAAAGAGGATCCTCCGCGCAAGAAGACGACGCGAGCCTGCGACTTTTATGGTTAATAAATTTTTCGCTTCATATCCGTATGATCTTTGTAAGCACGACAGGAAGACATTATATGGAGTGGATTCTTTGAACCATTCACAGAATCCAACCGGAGGAGAAACAACAAGAGATTACAGAATACTGTTAAAACATGTCATTCTTCGTTGACGATTGTTGATGAAAGATTGCAGATTTTTTGTTTATAATTCAGGCGATGCTTGGACAGAGAAAGCAGCGGTGCGTACATTTTCACGAATAGCATGATTTGAGAACGAAAGTCTTGTTTCCAGGCTCTGGTTTATGGGCAGAGGCACGAGCGCTCATTGACGGGATCTTGGGAGCTTCTCGTGAAGATCGACCGAAGTTTGAACACGTAAATGGTAACCCGTTGCTCCAGTTGCGCAACGTAACCTCAGAGGACAACGCGAGACGAGCCGGCAAGACGATTATGGTACTTACACGGCTTTAGTTTCAATTAAGGAATAAACTAACGGTGATGAGAGATTTACCAGGTGCTACGATGTGATCTAACGCAATCTCGATGAAAGCAGCTTTGATACGCCACTTGCGTTTTCCATTATTGGGATTTTTTACAGATAAGAAACAGGAGGGTTTAATAGGTTCGAAAAGTGAAATATTAGAATGTTAACAAGAACGTAATATTTCGAGTACACCTCATTAACCACTCTCTCCATTGATTAATCTCATAAAGTAGCAAACGATCTAAATTATCCAAGATACACGTATATTATTGACTCGTACTACTGACAGGGTGAATTACTGAAGAACTACATTATTTAGTATTTTAGCTTCGATACTTTGCTAAGCTATTTACTGAAGCGATTCTGTATCGCTTTATACATTAGAGTGTTAATGCTCGAGTTTTGAATTACGAAAAAACTTACGCAAGCCTGATGCGAGGGTCAGGAGTCCGATAAGGACCGCCAAGCCCGTCCTGTCTATCATCCTTTCGCGATCTAAGATCCGCTAGATCAGCTGCGCGACTGTTGATCGACGACGCCGGCGCTCATCGATGGATCCAACGAGGGGAAGGATCCGAGCGCGTTTTACTGTCACAGCAACTACAGTGGAACAAACGCAGCAGCAGCGTTGCGAGAGGAGTCGTTGGAAAGGAAAGCCTCTCTCTTCCCGTTCTTTTCCCGACGGGTTCGATTCGGTTCCGCAACGAGTGGGGACGCGAGGAAGAAGGATCCTTCGAGTCCGAGAGCGCGTTTCGCACTGAACCTTTCGGAGGATCCGTGCTCTCTTAGTAAACCCTACCGGATCGGATGTAAGCAACCAGAGAACAGAACCTCGAGGGAGATGGAGCCCGCAGGGATACGAATCGGAGTGGCGCGGCGGGATCGGTTTAACGCCGGATTACCGGATGCCGGGGGTGGGGTGACGCCGGACTGGCCCAGATCCGGACACCTTTCCGTGTTACACGTACCTTGTTCACTTACGTGGAATCGTGGAAGCTACGTAACGTACCGGTTAAAAATAAAACGCCTCTTGTAACGCACCCCGAAGTGTTCGCCAACAAGTTAGACATGATTCGGGGACGTAATCCCGAATTAATTAGACTATTGAATTTATTTATATCAAAACAGAAATGTGACCAGGCGTTAAAAGATGTGGAATTTCCAACTTTAAAGCCGAATCGTAGTGTTAAACTAGCTGGTTAGCGTCCCGAATACGAGAGTACTGTGCACTGTTTGAATAGCTTTTTGGATCGAGAGACTGGGGAATTTTGAAACGCGGATGCACAAGCGTGTTGACGATACTGATTGGAGCACTTAGACCGTACGATCATTGCGGGTTACTTCATAAGGCGTTATTTTCGGCAGTGCCTGCGTGGGCGGATCAAAGATTGCGTAACCACGCGAGAAGGCAATTAAGATGCATCGTAAACATCCGTGTGGGAAATTTCGACTGAATAAAAAATTCATGATTCACTTGATTTTGTTATAAGGTTTGAAACCGGTCGTTAGGTTTTTTGCGATGCTCCAATGTGGTAAAAAAATTGTATCGAATTTCGGCCCTTTCTAGGTCAATTTTATCCCAGAAATATTATTTTACACTAAGAAATTTCATTCTTACAACCAATTACAATTACCATAATCGACAGATTAACAGATGTTTTATTTTAATGGAACGAGTTTGCCTCCGATTCGACCTTGATGACGATTATAAATCATTTTCCTCTTATCAACAATGTTAATGATGTAATAAGCATCAATAGGTTACTGTATTCTGTGTGGGAGTAGAGTTCCATCGGCACGACCGAGTTAGAGCAACGGCGAACCGTCTTTCTGCAATCGGTCCGTCATACGCGTTGAACACTTTCATTGACGTGCTGTTTACACTGCCGCCATAGGAACGATCCTCCAACGTGTCTGAGCATCCTTTACAAGATTTTTAAAGATAGTCCGCGTTCCTCATCGATTTTTATTTGCTTAACCTTTGATTTTTATAGGTATTTATATTTCATAAAGTTCAGAAGTAAGAATTGCAATTTGCGTTAGCATAAACTTTCTGTAATGTATCTTAAGTTCAAACGATTCAGGTGAGACGCCGGTGTCACATGCTCAGTGACCTGTTTTATTTTTGTAAAAAAAAAAATGTCAGTACCTGAATCGCACTTGTGAGATCAGATGGAAGCGACGGCCAGACTGAAACTATTATGCCTGCAAATCCAGCATCATCCGTCTCATAATGTTGCACGTGTTTACCGGTTTATCCAGTATCCACGTTAAACTCCGTTCTGCCGGCGGATTAATCAGCGACGTATGCTAATCGACAATGATCACCGTTGCACATCGCGTAGCATAATACTTGTCGTCGTGGTTACGTCACCGGGAATGCATTATTTTCGTGTTAAAAGGTATTACGAATTCATCTCCTTATTCTTGAAGTTAATAATAAATCCGGAACACGCGCTTCGCTCACACCTCGAATTGCTTTTTTCTCTGAAAGCATTCTTCTTATGGCCATTACCGGCTCATTATCCGCTATTGTTTATTACAAATTAATGGATTTTACGCGGAACTGAAGACTGCAGATTTTTAGTCTTCTAGGAAATTCAGAAATTCCTATTGAGTCTGTCGTGCGATTCGAAAATTAATAGAGAAATCAATGAGCCTCCAGTTAATTCAATTGAATAATTTTTCAATTGTTTAACTTATCCCGGAATTCGGTGGAACTGAATTATTTACCTTATTCCGAAACGCGATTGTGGGAACGGTGTAACAATGATAGTTCCATGCAAAGGTCGCGGCAACGTTTCAGAAATTTCCTAAATCGCGATCGGATCGAGGCGATAACCAAAAAAGGGTCGATATCTGTGTCCGGCAGCGACCAGGTGAAAAAGCGATCGTCATCGACACCGTGAGTCGTGAGAAAACGGATAACTGCGAGCACGTTCCGCGAAAGGGTGTACAATCATCGGGAGAGGCTCGACTGGCTTAAGGATGTATAGGCTATATACTTAAACAATGCTAGCATGTTGAATTTATTATTATAGATTCCTATTACTATTAAAAAGCTACCTGCAAAATTTTAAATCAATTCATGGGTTTTTTGAAAAATTATAGTGAG